TTTATGATCTATCGAAAAATCTTCATTAATAAATTTTGTTATATGACCACATATAGTTTTGATTTACATAGTGCATCGCGCACCCCAATGGGGCATGCCCGAAAATTTTGGGTTTAAAGTTTTTACTCCATTTGGAAAATTATGCAATCAACTTTTATTGGTTAAAAAAAAATAAGCGTAATACAAATCATGTGATTAATTAATTGCGTTGGTATAAATACCCAAACTCCCTCTCTCTCACCCTCACCCATTACATCACGTGAACTTGATTGAAATACTCGTAGAAGTTCCGTGTTTAAGTACGAAATAAAAAAATTCCATAATTCGAAAATGGATTTAATTCGTATTTGTATTGTTTCCTCGGAACTATTATTCGATCTGACGGATAAATACACGTCATCATTTAAGACTGCGTGTCTATTATTAGGAACATTTTCTTCGAGTTCATTTAAATCAACAGCTGTATAGTCTTTTGGATGTGTATAAGAGAAAATTTTTAATAAACTGCAAATAATTAAGTTTTTAAATATGAAGTGAAAATAAGGTAAATATCCTTACAAGGATTATCGCCGTTTGATTCATTTTGATTATCTAAACAAAATATTTATGTTAAACAAAATGAAAATAATAATTTCTAAAATTTAGGTATCAATAACATTTTCAGTTACCTTCATTCACGTTTATAGCTTCAGTTATATTATTAGAAGAATCCGATCGTTCTGAATTATTTGATATTGACCGTGGAGTAATAAATTCAACATTCAAATTTTTTGAAATTTTATATAGTGCTGAATCACAAGTGATATCATTTTTTGAATGTTCGTCATTATTAGATTCAATTTTATTATCTAAGTTTTCGAAAATCACAAATAATTAATAAAACAAGCAATTAGTGTGTGGATATTCTACTCATATTACATTTATTAAATAAACACAAACCAAGTAATATTTGTGACTCATAAATATTGTCACTGGATTCTAGATTAAATATTCATGTTGTTAGAAACTTAATCCAACAAAAACGGATCAAACGCTCATAATCAATTTTATTTTGAATATGGAATGTGTTGATTACCTTCATTATAATTAAAGGAATCCAATGAATCTTCAGTATTTAGCACTGATTGTTGTTTGCTCTTGACAATTTTATTTGTTATAAATTCAATAGTTGTACTTTTTGATAAATTCTCGAGTTTTATTAAAATTTGATCCAGCGTTGGACGTTGATTCGGATCAGAAGACCAAGATTTCTCGATGAGATAGGCATAATCTGATGGTGTATTGGCAATAATTTTTTCTCTTTTGTTCTGCGAAATTTCTATTATTATAGCCTCACTATGAAGATTATGAAACGGAGGAACTCCACTTGTAAGTTCCCATAACAATACTCCTAAACTATAAATGTCTGACTTTACATTACGTTTAACTCTATAATGAAGGTACTGTGGGTCAGCATATGCTACGATGCCTCTTGAATTTGAGCTTGATTCGGTAGTATCATTTAATTGCTTCGATATTCCAAAGTCTGCGATCAAAGCCTTTCCATCATTTATTAAAATGTTCTTGGAATGCTAGAGAAATTAAGACTTAGAATTAAGATTTAATTTATTGATATTAAAATTTAACCAACTGTAAAAATAAAACTCACCAGGTCACGATGTACGATCTTATTAGTATGTAAATGTTTTAATCCAAGAGTAATTTCCTTTGCAATTCGGGTGAGTTCAATCCATGAAATTTTATAAACATCAAGTTGTTTTCTTTGTAAATGATCCCGTAAATTTCCTCCGTTTGCAAACTGTAATACCAACATAAAATTACCGCTCGATGTGTCTAAATTATTCAACCAATGTATAATTTACAATTCAGTTATATAAATATACATAAATTTATCTAATTTTGGACTTTCATCGTATATAAGTACCTTTTGAAGTTCCATAAAATTCAATAATATTTGGATGACAAACTGGATGACAAACTTTATGCAAGTTTTTAAGCTGTACATAATTGTTTATTATATACAAATTATTAGTTTTGATGCTACAAAAAAAAAAACAAAATACAGAATAATGAATAATTTATTACCTCACGCTTGATTTGTTTGATCCTTTTTTCATCCAACCACAGGTTATTGTTTAGACTCTTCAGAACATATTTTTTTCCTTGAAAATTGGTCAAATATACGATTGCAGACCCTCCTCGTCCAATGATTTCTGTTCCCTTAAATTGTGAATAATTAAAGCTTTTTATTCTGATACTTTTCAGATACACTTCCAATTCTGGATAATCAACTACTAATATATTATGAAAATTCATTATCATCATATCAGTCAAGTATTTAAATCATTATTATTGCGGTAGCTTACGGGCTTTCTTCGGCATTTTATTATATATGAATCAACAAATCTTCAAATAGCTTATATCGAGAGAATAGAGCGAAAGTTTGATTTTAACTCCGAAATTCTTCATTTAGACGGCAGTTGTGTTACTTACGTATGTATTAGAACGCCTCGATGCATTTTTGCATGAACAAAAATGAAATCAGGGACCGAGTACCGAAACCGTTTTTTTAAAGGTTCTGATCGGCAAATCTGTCTTAGTTCAAAACTGCAGTTTGTAATAAAGTTCTAAAAAACGTTCCAAAAGATCTAAATCACAATCACTTTATTGTTTTTTAATTTAGGACTAGAGATGCAGACATATTTACGTGATAGGGGTCGTAACTTACATAAAAAATAATTTTTTATATAGTTATGACCTTGTTACGGACTTCTGTTTTTATTCTGGAACAATATTTACTAGCGTCAAATAATACAAACGTACGTACGTACGTTGTGAAAGTGTAAATTATTGCGGTTCCTGAAAATTCTAAGAATTCTGAAAATCCCAAGAATTACAAGAAGACCTAGAAATCCTGAAAATCCCAAGAATTACAAGAAGACCTAGAAATCCCGAAGATCCCTAAGATATGTAATATCATAGAGATTCTTAGAATCACAAAGATAGTAGATATATTAGAGGTAGTTAAGATTCTTAGTATCCCCGATATCTTTAGTAGATTCGATATTTCTGTTATATCTGATCTGTTACCTCCATTATCTCATTACTATGTAAAAATAAGTATATAAGCGAAACCATTTCGCTTTGAATAAAGGACAGTTCTTAGCAGTTCCCAGCTTTGCAGCTCTAATATCTCTCAATTCCCGACTCAGTTAGAGTTCGACGCTGCATAGTGTTTCCCAATAGTTACCCCCCGATGAGTAAAATCGGTAATAATGATAGTAATTAGTACCAAATTCCGTGATTCTGCATACATTCGGACGTAATTCAGAGCTCTAATCCGACGCTATTACTAAGAACCCAATTACCCTAGTTATATGAATAAAAAGGATATCTATTGATCATGGGATTTGAGATATTCAAGTTTGAAAGATTTACTATCGCACATTACTCATATCTATTCATTTTTGCTTGATCAGTTTAATTGGTAGAAAAGTTATTTTCATTAATTAAACATTTAAAATAAATTTTAAGTTTGTGAATATTTATGATTACAAATTTTTTACTATATTTATTCGCATTAATTTATTATGAGTAAAAAAAGAACATTTATTACCATTTACTTAAGATAGCATTACTATATCAAGTTCTAAACAAAAGGATATCCATTATTTAAAATATAAAAACATTAAATCCACATGCATTATACTATTAATTCATCGAATCTTAATACAGTATAAAGCTTAAAAATCCAAATATATTTTAATTAGGCAATGAAGCCGCTACTATAGATGGGAGCAACAATACCACTTGATTACGAATAATTATTGTTTAATTTACTTTTTGAATTTCGGAACCCATCTACGTATACATAGCCGCTACATGATCATGTTCTAGTTATATAATATTCAGCTTTATTATCGTTTATCAAATATAAATTCTAAATTTAGAATTTCACGATTTTACATAAATTTTGATGAAATTAAGGTATTATTTCTATAAAGAAATTTTGCTAACTCCTTGCATTCATTAAAACTAAGCTCATTATAAGAAATATTTAAATCAGTTAAAGTAGTGTTTTTGCAGCGAGTTTCTACTAATACTTTTACCCCTTCGTAACCAAGCAGATTACGACTAACATCCAAAAAAGTTAAAGTGGTGTTTTTGCAAAGAAGCTCTGCTAATACTTGCCCTTCTTTAAAAGTAAGTTGATTATCAGAAATCGTTAAATTTGTTAAAGTTGTGTTTTTGTAAAGGGCATCAGCTAATGTTTTTACTGCACCATAAACTTCATAAGTAATGAAATTACCACTAAGATTTAAGGAAGTTAAAATTGTATTTTTATAAAGAGCTTCCGATAACACTTTGATTTCATCAATGTTTATTCCAAAATAATAAATTTGACAATAACTGAGGTCTAAAGATGTTAAAGTATTGTTCACATAGAGAACTTCAAATAACGCTTTTACTCCTTCATTATCAAGTTGATTATGACAAAGATTCAAGGAAGTCAAAGTAGTATTTTTACGAAGAGCTTCTGCCAATATCATGGCTTCTTCGAAACCAAGATTATTGTATCTAAGACTCAAAGAAGTTAAAGAGATCTTTTTACAAAGAGCTTCTGCTATTGCCTTTACTTCTTCAAGACCAATATCACAACTGTCCATAATCAGAGAAGTCAAAATGGTATTCCTGCTAAGAGCTTCTGCTATGGCTTTTACTCCTCCAGCTTCAAAAAATACATTATAAAAACCTAAAGATGTCAAAGAGGTATTGTCGTAAAGCGCCTTTGCAACTTTTTCTCCACTTTTAATTCTTACTGGCTCAAAACTAAGAGTTAAGGATGTTAGAGTTGTGTTTCTATAGAGATCCTTTTCAAATTCTTCTGCTTCGTCATCCCAAAAATTATTACCGAGAAGACATAGAGTAGATAAAGATGTGTTCTCATAAATAGCATCATTCAATATTGTCATTTCCTTGCAACTAAGAACACAGTGCTGAAGCATTAATGAATCCAGACTACCATTTTTACGAAGAATATTTACTAGTGCTTTTGTAGCTTGGAAACTAAATCTAATTCGAATAAATTTTAAGGTCATGATAATAGTGTTTTCGAAAAGAAATTCTAATATCTTCACCAATCTTTCACTAGTAATTTCACTGAAACTAAAATACTTGATTTTTTTACTTGTTCGTGCCAACATTTTAATTAAAGAATATTCGACTTCTTTAGCCACTTTATCGAAGTTTTTGTATATTTTATCACCTTGGTCATAATAACGTTCATATTTCTCATATTTCTCACGGTGAAGATAATTTACGATTCCTTTTTTTAGATCATAACAACCGATATACGTAATATGTGAAGTATATTCAATTAAGGGTTTTGGATTAGTAGGAAGTGGTATATTTAATGGAATTAATGGTGTCTTTTCTTCATTATTTAATAATGAAAGGTATATTATCATAAGCCTTCTATCATCGCAGTGCTTTAATGATTCACTCCATAACATTGGAACGATAATTCCACACCATTGACGGTTTACGAGAAGACACGAAAATAAGTGCCTGGGGTAATTTCTAAGGTAATTAAATATTTCATAAAGACAATCATTCGGTAAGTCTACCATTTTGAAAGAGTTAAAAAGTGAAATTTGCAAATAAATGATTTAAAAATATTGATTGTTTTGATCGTCCGAGTGATGCAAAATTTACGTTTTTGATGACATTATTAGTTAATTTGTATTTCATATCAATAATGCAATTTTGCACAAAATATACGCCGATTATCATGATTATCGTTAGGTGATAAAATGCCGTTTTAGTATCTCCTATAAAAAAAGTGTAGCTAACGTATGGATAATCATACAATATGTTACGGTTAACTCTGTATTATAAGAATAGCCAATTCGGTTAATTACCAAATGAATCGGCAATATACAAATATTAAAATTTTATAATTAATACAGGAAATAACTATCTAATTATTATATAGAATGAACAATATAATTAGTAGTGTCCTTTAAATTCAAATATGGATACAAAGTATATATTATATTATATATAATAATAACTTTCCAAATTTCCAAATTTTAACGCTAAAATTTAGAGATTTGAATGAAGATATTTTTATTTCAGCTGCTGCTAAGTGCTTAATAAAAATAAGTGCATAGCGATGTTATTATATATATACAATTCTTTAAAAAACAATACATAATTTATTTTTGTTATCATTGGTAATTTTATCGTTATGCAATTACAGTTGATTAAATTTATGTAATATCCGAAAATAAGCACCCATATGTATAATCGTATCTGATTTTTTTTATTAAGCAAGCATACTTTTGTTTTTAAACAAAATTATTCTCCAGGTCAAGATGATTCTAATGGCAGTAAGATTATTAAAATCAGTCCAGTAAAACTCTCACAATTGCACTTCAAAGTTCGAGCGATCTTTGTTTATGAGTCTGTAGATTATATAAAGCAATGTTAACAAACGTCGCAAAAGTTCTACCGAACTAATTTTTGCTGTTAGAATCGTCTTAACCTGGAGAATAGTTTGACTTAGAAACAGAAGGTAGGTTTGCTTAATATCAAATCCTATATTATTTATTTTTAGATTATATGCGAAATAAGCACCCCTTATAAAAAAAAAGATGCTAAATTTCAGAACTATACTGTAATGATTTTTCCTTTCATCATATACTTCGCTATAGTACAAAGTTTTAAACTTTAAAATATTCTCTTTCGAAAACAAAAATTAATCGCATCCAAATACAGTAATACAATAAAATTGCCATTAACGACAACCGTCCCTATGGAAACTTTGCCGCTCATTGGAACCAATTTCAAAAAAAAGAGACTTAGGCATGTTTTGAAAAAGGGTAAATTATATGATTTTTTTTTTTCTTTTATGTAATACGCTATTTTTTAACTATAATTTTTAATGTTAATATCGGTAAATATATTTATACTGATGTGCTATTATATTGTTTTTATTAAGTCATCACATTTGCAAACTGCGGCATAAAAATTGCAATTAAGGATAAAACTACAAATTATATCCATATTTATACATGAAGTATATTAAGAAATTTTCAAATCATAATTCGTTTCTTAAGAAAAAATCTAATTAATTAAATTCTAGAAAAAAGTGAAATAAATCAAAGAGAAAAAAAAGCTTACCATATTCTATCATAAATAAGCACCCCATTTTTTTAAAAAAATGTCAAATTAGTGGGAATAACTTGGCTTAAAGACTTATTACGATTTCCGCTAATCTGACATTTAAAAACTGGGTAGATGGGATGGTGCTTATTTACGGTAGAATATGTATAAGTTTCAGTGGATTGTCTATTGTACACTGTACAAAATTTCATTTAATCTGATTTCATTTTAATCTCCACATTTATTAAGGTGGCACTCAAACTATATTTTATTCTATAGTGCAAATATAGCAATCTTAACTATATGATACAATCTACCCTTAAAAATGTTCATATCTTACTTTGTAAATCATCACGTTCGGCCTTATTAAAGGACTTAGATTTGACTTTGTTTCTCAAATAATTAAGCACCGATTCGCCTGATATTTTGATTGATCTCTTAAATTTTATTATTAAAAGGTTTATCACTAAGAACTATTCTTTATTTATAAGTTCTCGATATATATATATATATATACACTATGGGACAAAAAAAAATTGGAAATTTTATTCCATTCCTCTTTCATATATTGTTCTAATTCTGGTAAATTTTTTAGCATACATTTTTTTACGTTGTCCTTGACGATACCGATACCGGTTCGAGCATAAAGCTCTTTTGCGTTACGTATACCTTTGTTCCACAGGTATACTAAGGTTTCTCGTTGACTTTTTTTTTTGGATGCTGTCATATGGCTATTATATTTGGGTACAAAGGCACAATATACTTGCAAATTATATTTTGCAGATCTTAGATCTGATTTAAATCAAATGAGTTGCACGTGTTTAAAATCACGTGCATTTTTTCCGTTTTTTTTTTGTCCCATAGTGTATACAAATACAGCTTCACACATGCAGTCTTCTAACACGATTGATAATACAACAATGTCATGGGTAGACTTTTACTAATGGTCCTAAAAGATATTTTGGTGCGGCCTGTAGTGGTGGAATAAATAATGATTTCATTTTTCATTTTGGTATACATATTCAAAATAAATATAATATTAATATACGAATGTATACTGATTT